ATTTTAATATTGGCAGAGCTAGACAGCATGTTTAGTGTACCTATTGTAGGTCAACATTTTTTGTCTAATGAACCAATTGTTTCTAGACTTTGAAATTTGGCACACCTTTAGCCACCATATGCTAGAATAACAAATAATTTTTTAATAAAGATCAAAAGTTTTTATTTTTTTAAATTTCAAAAATAAAGGTTTTGGTTATCTTTAAAATATATTATAATTTTAGAATATAGTCGTCATATTTCAAAATAAAGAGCAAAAACCTAAGAATATGACACTGGTTTCAGCTTTCTAGGTCAAATAGTTCTTGAAAAATAGCCCCAAAACTATTTAAAAAATGCATTGTTTTTTGAGGTTTTTATTATTTAAAAAATTTATAACTAAAAACCGAAGTGTAAAAAATCTAAAATTTTGTATTTTTCTTTATATTAATGCATTCAACAAAAAAACAAAAAATGATTAAAATCCAAGACCCAATGGGTCAGGCCCTGGTTGATTTGGTATGGAATGACCATATAATATTATAATTTGGCAATAAGTCGCAATGTATAATATAGATTTTTAAAGAAATTAAAAATTTGTCCGAACTGCGGTTTCGTTTATTTTATTTTATGTTGATAAAAAATAATACAATCTGAACTAGAAAATACATGTAAATTACAGTTATACAATTTGAGTGACGAGTAGTACAATTAAATGAACAGTTGAATAATTTGTAAAATGGGGGTTGGTCCACTGTCAGGTAGACAGGAGGGTACCCCCCTTAATTATATTTAATAAAATTTCAGAATTATTGAAGGAAATTAGTCGACTGTTCTTCATATCATGGGTGATAAATATTCAGGACACAGTCATTTAAATTTTTAAAAACCTTATAATTTTTTTTATTTATTATTTAAAAAAGACTGCGTCCAGAATATTTATCACCCATGATATGTAGAACAGTCGACTAACTTCCTTCAAGAATTCATAAAAACCTTATAATGTCTGCGTCCTGAATATTTATCATCCATAATAAAATTTCACTTAAAGCAAAACGTGATGCAAACCATGAAATAGCTGTTGTTTATAACAGATAGTAAAATTTCAAAGTTGAACTTGTTTCTGTAACATTATGGATCGCTCGTATTATAATTATTAGATGATTATAAAAATTCTTTGACATCATAGTATATGACATTGATTTCATAAAATTGATAATGGGAAATAGCAGACCTTGAAACCTACAAAAATGGCAAACCATTGTCTGATTTCACACAGAAACTAGGAAATTCAAGTTTTGTAATTTTTTAAGTCAGACACGCTTTTTGTTGAATAGAAAGTGATAACTAAAAAAATATTTAAATTTAGTGATTAACAATTGTTTCAAAGTAACCTAGACAAAATTTATTTTTATCGTGAATAGACATTGCCTTTATTAATCTAGAAGAAATTTTTAACAAATAAAATTAAGGTAAGTTCTATTATTTTAGAATCATGGATTATTTGGGATTTTTTTTCACCTACTGGATCACAGATCCTTCATCAGGCTAAGTAAAATATAAAAATTAACAGCAATAATATAATAAAAAGCAAAATTTACAAAACAATCTTCAAAATGAATGAAAACAAAACAATTAAATAAACACTATTTATCTAGAGGAGGACCGTCTCTTCTGCTTCTCGGATAAGGGGTAAAAATAAAAATAAAACTATTGTCCAGAAGGGCTTTCCCCAACCAATAAAATTATGCCTTGTTTTTGTTAACCGCTACTAATTTAATGAGCATAGAATCCTCAAAATTAAGTATTATTGGCATTCGAGCTTCATACAAAAATGAAAATCCGAGCTTCATACAAAAATGAAAATCCATTCTTTTTCATTTAAATGCAGAGTGTATGAGTTTTACCATACTATGTTTGTTAACGCCGCATACGCTCATATATTTATTTTTTCTCACCATTAACCCCTTTTAAGTGTTAATAATGAAAGGTTTATTTATTTGTTTTGGTGGAAACTGAGGGATTGTTGTGCCAGAATTGTACATTGTTTATAGATGTAGATTTACTTTGTGATATGTTATCGTGTTTGTCTATACACACCAGCCCGGCAGTAATACCCAGTCTTGGGGATTAAGACACAAATAATGCCATAATACTGTCGGGATGTGGTCTTAGGCCAGTCTGGAACTAGCCTTTGTCGACATAGTAGTGGACGTCTACCCCCACCAGTCCAGACTCACTTCACCTCAACTTACCAGTCTAGCGCCATTTTTCGAGAACACCTGTTAGACGCAGCTGAGCAATCAATCGAGATCGATACCACCCCACCATTGATTACTGGACAGCTAAGCATCGTAGAAGGTAACCTCTTTGGAAGAAGATCCTCCAACTTGGAACATTTTTTATTCTCACCATCACCATGGGACATCTTGGGAGATCTTTAATAAATTTATTTTCAAGGCTTCTAAGTCTGCGTAGAGCTATCTCTCTGGTGGATTCAAGATTAACATGGTTACGATTAAATGCTGGTTAGGAAGAAAAGGAAGTTAAAATACAAATCTATCCTGGAGATCATAAATGCATGTATTTTTAAAATGATTTTCGCAAAATGGATCTTACAGGTTGGATGGAATTGGACCTCTTCAGTCTCCCAAAATCGCTTTAATTCTTCCTGTAAGGAAAGGTTGGTCTGTGTGAAAAAGGTGTGGGTTGAAGGTGCAATGGGGTATCTGAGAGGGTGTCATCGAATAGTACCTATCTTAGTGAGGTATGGATAGCTTTATTGAAGGAAGCTAGTCGACTGTTCTACATATCATGGGTGATAAATAGTCAGGACGCAGTCATTATACAATTTTTTTTTTATTTGTGCCAACTTTTCAACCCAAACATGTGGATCATCTCCAGTGCTTAAACCATGCCCTGAAGATGACCCACATTTTTGGGTTGAAACGCCACAAATAAAAAAAAAAATTGTATTATGACTTTGTCCTGACTATTTATCACCCATGATATGGATAGCTTTAGGTTGACCCTTTAAAAATAAAACAGGGTCACTTAAGACCTCTCTGTACATTTCAGCTCAATTACATTGGCAAGAGGCAGATCAACTCTACCTGGTTTATGGAATTAAGGGTTAGCAAGTTCAAGCAAACAAACTGATTCTGTACTTCTCAGGATACAGAAAAAGAAAACAAACTCTCACTGATGCAAGGCAATACTCTGGCAGTAAATTCATAGGTATGATTATTCCATACCGAACCTAACTTCAGCTGAAGATGAAGAAATGGATGTATTATATACCCCAGACACCACAAGAGTACTAACCCAGTAACGAAGGCTTTGCTTTTTCATTAGGTCAGTGGCAATTAAATTAATCTGGGAACCTGGATAAATCACCATTCTACAGGAATACCACTGACTAGAACTTGAACAAATCCTACCAAAGGCTGTACCCAGTAGTACGTGGGAGTTTGTCGTTGCATGACACGAAACTGCATGAGCATTGCCCGCTGTGGTTCCAGAGACAGCAGGGGTTGTCACTTGAGACTGGGAGGGCTCAGTGTTTGCCTTATTTTTATCATGGTGATTCTTTTTGTCACAAACTTGGCAACAATCTTTACTTTGGCATTTAGGCAAGTAATGAGTTCCCGTACAAAAAAAAACACAAAATTAGATTTTTTTAGTAGATCATAACGACCATTAACATCTGCATCCAGAAACTGAGGGTAATTTATAATTTTGATTTAATTTATTTTACGGTCTATTACTAATTAAAAAGGTTTTTTCGATGAACTTTAGGCAGTGAATTTTTAGATATAGAAGGCTCAAATTTCCGTGACTCTAAGTTGTGACTTAACAAATTTACAAAATTCCTCAAAAATAGGAACTGTCTCTTCACTAGACTATTTTCAAACATTTGCCTTTTATTAGGGTTCACAACGTTCATTCCAGGATGCAGTATAACAATCTTTAATTAATCTTTAAATATGTCCAAAAGTCGGAAGAATAACTTCGTTGAGATGGTAGGGAGCAATGATTCTTTTATTGCTTTTTCGTTTCACTAATTTATCATAAGCCAAAGTACAATTATCAGCATTAAATTCAATATAGGAAATGGCTTGGAATGCCGGATGTATTTATAAAGACTTGAGGTAGGAAAATTTAATTATATCACTGTAATTTCTAATATGAATAAGGGCATCAAACAACGAGTTAAAAATTTAAATTTGATTGCTATAGGCAATATCAGGTTGTTCTAAAATAAATGTTAAGTGTGGCAAAGCAGGACGAAATAAGCAAGGATTAACAAAGACACTTAATTCCAGCAAGTCACTACGTGTTTTTTCCTGAAAATTCCTAGAATCCAACTACAAGTGTTCAAACAAATTATTCAATATTCCAACAACCAGGCATCCTCAAAATGTATCAAAAACATAAGAAACTAGATAAAGATATAAGAAACAAAGAATAAATAACTGAAATAAGTTTTTTAATTAGGAAACAGACAAAGTTTTGGCATAATTTCTCTTTAACCTTCCAGGCATTTTTCCTCTCTCACAGATAGCAAATATCATAAATAATGAGAAAATAAACTATTACCTGGCCCGTATGACCAATTTGTTTAGGCAATAAACTAAGTTATAGAGAAAAACAACTTTATTAAGTTGAACATGAGACAACGTACAAAGTAATTTTTTAGTGGACTGTATTTAAGGCACGAGGGAGGCACACGTAATCTAAAAAACGAAGCTTCGCACCCTTTCTGTTGGTTTAAGGCAATTTCTTACATCTTGTGCCCAGGGCCCTGTCACTGTGATGCTTCTTCTTCCATGTATCCAGCTGAAGTGGGCCGATCTATAATTCTATGAAGGTTATCTGTGTTTTTGCCACCTACCGCTAGGTAGCGTGCGAGTGTGTAATCACAAAGTGTGTGTGTTAAACATGCATTTAAATAAATGCCATTAGAGTGTAATATTAGTAGTACTCATCTAAATAATAATAACAATACATTAATAAACCAACCTGATGCTAGGTGTATTGTGTGTAGCCATGTCGTCAGCAGCAAGTAATAGAGAATTTACAGAAAGACTTGAGTCAGAGCGCCAGGCACCAACACGAGTAACAGAAGCTGGTGTACAAGCAACAATTACAGACAAATATCGTTCATGGTCTGCCGGAGTTGCTCCTCCTTCTAAATGCCCACTGCCTAAGAGTTACAAATTGTATAAATAAAAAACAAAATTTTTACTAAATAACCTTAAAAATTGTTGAGTAAAATATGTACCCTAAATTAATAATGAACTATGATCATTAGGTTCTAACTCAAATAACAATTTGAAATGAAATTTGTATGAATTAATATTAATGTGTATACAAATTATCCACAAACAAAAGTAATAAATAACATAAATCTGTACAACTACAACCCATGAAGGATCTTGGGTTCAGTACTATTTAGGGAAAGTACTGTTTCTTGGCCAACTGTTGTTGCAAGCAGGTAATTTGACCAAGATCATGCTCAACCACCAGGTTTTCCCTGTATGTACCCACTTTATAGAGTCTGAGTGTGTCCCAGGAGGATCTCCTGACCCCAGTGGTGATCCAAGGCTGATGAAACAGAATAAATAATTTATCTGCTATGAACTGGAATTAAGCATGGGGGGACCTTGAGGATCGGAAGCTCAGTACCCTACCACTGAGCTATCTCACTCTTAAATAATAGTAAGGAAGACTTAATTATGAACTTCTACCATTTTTAGCTTTCAACAGAATTAGAAGACGTAAGCATATACTTTCATCTAAACAAAATGACTCTTTTAAGGTGAAACATTTAGTAACAAAAGGATTTTGAATGATAACTAAACATATGCGAAACAAATAAGTATTTATAACTGAAAAAATATTCCAAACATGACTGGTTCTTTATTCAATCAATTTAATGTTTTATTCTGTAAAAAAAAAGTCACCTTTTTGGAGCATCATAAAGATAGAACAAAAAACCTTTAAAAAATTAAGCAGTGGATTGACATCTAAGAAGAAACAAAACAAAATGCATTAAAAATTACTTGGTTTTGATCAAATAACTCTGATTATACAAAGACATCTATTACGACTATTATATTCTCATTCTTTTGATTCCCCCCAACCACAACGATTAATTAATAAAATAACCACTAACTTAAGTTATTGACTTATTGGTACATGGATTTTTTTTTTTCCATTTTCCGCCTTTTCATCTTCACTTCTCTAAACTTTTAAACACTACTTTAGAGATGGTTCTGCAGTGGACTGTTGAAATTGTAAGAATGAAAAATGGTCAGGATGTGCAGTCAAAAAATGTTTATTGAGTTTACCAATGTTTCAACTCAAATATATTTGCCAAGGCCAAAAAATGGACCTCATCGCAGGCAAAGGTTTGAATGTAAATTATGAAAGTGTATAACATTTTAACGAAAATAAACTTTGTAAGCCATTCCAAAGCCACTGCTTTCAGAAATAGCGGCCATGCAAAGAGGTTAAAATTTGCCAAAAATAGCCCATATCGCAGGCTATATGAAACTTTGATACATGAATCTTTCTACCAAAAATTGTCGTTTTTGAGCGATCTGCCATTTCCGTGCCGTTTCTATCATATGACAGACTTAATTTAAAAAATTGCAACTTTGGAGTACTAAATTTATCAATTTTGGCGTCTTGGAGTTATAACTACAATGAATGTGTACGATAGAAGGGAGAAATAATGTTCTGTGCCTCTTTTAGGCCGCGACGATCTACTAGCAGACTAATTAAAACATTGCAATTTTAGGCATTAAAATTCACCATTTTTAGGGAGCTCGAAATTTTACTACATGAAAATATTCGGTTTAAGAGAAGAAAATAACGTTGTTTGCCTCTTTTACGCTGCGGATATCCACTGGCAGACTCAAATTAAAAAATTACAATTTCCGGTGTAAAAAATTACCAATTTCAGAAGGCTTGAAATTTTTAAAATAAGAAAGTATTTGTAATTTTTTATTTATGCCAACATTTCAACCCAAACATGTGGGTCATCTTCACGGCGTGGTTTGAGCACTGAGGGTGTTGAAGTACTTGAACACCCTCAGTGCTCAAACCACGCCCTGAAGATGACCCACACGTTTGGGTTGAAACGTTAGCATAAATAAAAAATTAAAAACTTTTTTTAAGAAAGTATTTGATCTATAATAAAGAAATAACATTATCTGCCTATGTTAGACTACAGAAATCTACTGGCAGATGCAAATTAAAAAATTGTAATTGCTGGTGTAAAAAATTACCAACTTCAGAAGGCTTGAAATTTTTAAAATAAGAAAGTATTTGGTTTATAATAAAGAAATAACATTATCTGCTTATACAAGGCCTTGAAAATCTACTGGCAGACGCAAATTAAAAAATTGTGATTTGCTGGTTAAAAATTTACGTACCTATTTCCAACCTTAATAATAAGCAATATACACACTGTAAATAACCTTTGTTAAAGGTTTAATTTTAAATATTCTTTTTACCGGGAATTGTGAATATTCTTTCCGCTTTTATCGGGTGACTAGGTTATTTATACTCATAAATATTAAGACAAAATCCCGGCACTGGATATAAACTTTTTGAGGGTGTTTAACTGTTGTTGGGAATTCGGGAACCTAATACATTTGTGACACTGAGTGAGAAGAAATTAATAGGAATATATACATATAATGTGGGACTGACTAAATACACTTTGAATGAATCGACTCACCTGGTTTGTTATTCTTCAATTATGAGGCATATAGGACAACTAAATAAAATGACTTTTCACTCCTGTATAATAAAACAATTTATTTTGACAACTGTAATAAATGAATCTATTAAAGTCTTATAATTGTAGACTTGACATTCTTAGTCTTCAATGTGGTAGGCTTCTCTTCTCAGGTAACGTCCTTTTGTCTTCGTGTCGCAGCCTTAAGTGCCTTCTTCTCTCTTTTCCGGTGTCCTTCTCCAGCTGTTGCTAGCTGCGCCGTCCTTTTTCTAGCGTCCTTCTTCAACGATTGTTTATCGATATGAGACTTTTCAATGAATAATTTGTCCATTGCACAATTGAGTACAATTTATCGTGCAACCTCACATTCCTATATATTCCTTCTCATTCCCTCACACAATGTCACATAAAGGAGTAAATACAGGGGGCTATCGACTACAGCACCTTCCATTGATTTTTTTATGTATTTATGTGAATACTTTAACCTATATGACTAATTTTTTATATGCCTTAATATTGTAACATATTTTTAGCCTCATTTATATTTATATTTATGTTGCTAGAGGATTTATGTCACTCCAATAAGTGGCGAAGTTCTTTTTTCGAGAGTTTTGGCCCTCATTAAAGTGAAGAGTTTATTATTTGGAAATAATTATAAAGGAACTCCTTATAACAAATCTCAGTTATTCTAAAATGAATCCTGAAAACCCTACCGAGTCTGGAAATCAAACCACCTTGAGCAACCTGATGAGTTTTATTGGAAATGCAAAACGAAGTTAGATCAAGTGTATCTGAAATAAAAGAAATAAAAACTTTCATTGAGTCATTTAAATGTCAACTAGAGGACACAAAAAAAGAGTGGAGCTATTCGAAGTCGGTCATACACAACTAGAAGCTAAGTAAGATGTAATTTCTAAAAAAGTAGATGGCGATTCTTCTATAATGCTCCAGAGTAATTCTCGCCATAAAAAAATGTAATTATGTTTGGATTGCCATCAACAGAAAATGAATCTCCAGATAAACTAGAGCATGCTTTCTTACATAAAGTAAATACATAAATTTGCAGCCATTTTAAATTGACTTCATAAACAGAATAGGAACTAAAATATCAACTAATCAACCGGTCTTTATAAAATTTATTTCCATGAAAAGGAAGCTGGAATTGTTGAGGAAAGCAAAAGACCTAAAAGATCCTGAATTAAATTTGACCTAGGACTATTTAAAGGAAGATAGAATATTAAGAAGTCAATTATGGCCATTTTTGAAATCTTTCAGGAGAAGTGTTTCTCAGTAGGATATAAAGGACAAAGCGTTGAGATGGGAGGAAAATTACAAAGGGAACAATCAAATCATACTAAAAGAAATAAACTTGATAAAATATTGGAAATGTCAACAAACCATAGGAGGATACTCTAGAAATAGGGGAAAAGACGAGATCCGGGGAAAGCCAGTTCATTTTTCTGCAAATAGTAAAAAAAGAACTTAACAAATAATAAACAATAAGTAAAAGTTCAGATGAGGACTCGAAATTTGTATGAGATATAGAAATACTAAAGAGCTTTTATACTCTAAATTTCCTTATACTCCAAATATTCATGGAAATATTCCAAACTATATATAGCTACTTTTTGTATACATTTTTCTTCTTTTTTTATTTAAGTATGGATAGCAAGTTTAAAAGAAGATTTTAGAAGCTACTGTGTGGACATTTTATAAAATTAAAAAAAACAATTTGTTCAAATTAAAATCGTTTGATGGTACCATATGGTTTCAATAAATAATTTTTCTAGCTGAAAAAACATAAATATATATCCACAATTGATTTAGTCCAATCTAGTTCATTATAAGAAAATAAAAAACATCTTCAATGAACTAAAGATTTTTAGTTTGAAATTGTGTTTTTGGAACTTGTCTGCCCTAAGAATCCGACCACCTAAGATGGACAGACAAACTTTGTATCAGGTGAAAATCCAGTCTAATAAAAGAAACTAAATTAAAGTCTTCAAATAATATATTTTAGCGTTTTTAGTGAAATCCAGTAATTTTAGGAAGGCCACCATTTCGGAGTTCGATGAGGCTCTTGGGATACCTGGGAGGCGGCATTGTCATGTCCGTTGCAGTTTAGATCTCACTCTGTCAGAACAAAGCAACAGCCTATCAATGACAGACTGCAATTGTAAATTTTTACTTCTAAAATAGCAACCTAGTGAATGTTTGAATGGCTGCTGTCCATAGCCAATCCCACATGATGACAATACAATTCTCCTAACTTCACTTCAGTCTATTCTGTATGTACACACACACATACACATACACACATGAATGCTTGAAAATTACTTTAATCTGTGGTATGATAAAAAAAGAATAAAGGAAAATAAATAATTGTATAAGTATGATTATAATGGCTTCTACAAGCTAAATTAACCAATAAATGTAAACATACAGCATGAATTTTAATAAACAGATATCAACCTTGCTGGTGAGGATGATTAGTTTTTAACATGCTCATCACACTTTTGCCATGGTATGAGGCTCCACGTAACAATAGGGCTTTAGTGCGACTATGTCTCCAGGTAATTGCAGGAACACGTCCATGTCTATAACACCGTGAAAACCTTCTTATACTGTCATCATTTATTGAGCTAGGCATCACAAGCAATGCAGGATATCTGAAAAATTGAAAGTTAAATATAAATGTTGTATTATATATTTTTAAATATTATTGTGGAATAAAATATTACTTTAGCTATTAAATAAAATAATGTAATCGATGGTAACAGTTATGTATTTTTTTTTGTATCAATAAGAACTACTAACATACATAGGTGGAATAAAACAAAAAAGGAAGCTTAAAGATGGATCATACAAGGTCAGTTATTTAACTAAATGGACAAGAACTAAGAAACTTAAGGTGTAAAAGATTCAATTAATTTGTTTACGAAAAGATTAGATGACCGTTCACAATTATCCTTGTTAATGTAAAAATATAAGAGTTTAAATTTGATGCTCAGGGAAGTCTGGTTGAGGATGAAAATTGGCACAAATATTCCTTTGAAGAAAACAAGGTGTTTAAATGGTTGTTAAAAATGATAGTGATGCGGTCAAAGATTTTATTTTGATTTAATTAACATTTTGATTGGAGTTCGGCTCGAGCCGGTGAGAAAGAAAGATCGGCTCCACATCAGCATTGTCTATGATTGGGTATTTTTCGTCCAATTGAGCTGAAATTTTGCACCTAGACGGAGCTGTGTGTTAAAGACCTGCAAATGAAATCTTATGAAAATTGAGCTAAGATATTGGCCATGATCAGAAGGCAATGAAGTTGATGTGCTTGTGGGACCGGAGTTCTTATCGCTGTGCAGCCTGGTACGTCCGCCCCCACCACTTTTCAGCAAGGAGCCCAACTAATTTACTGTTACCTAGTTTATATATTCGATCTCTTCCTCTCATAAAAAACAAAAAAAAATTAGTGTTTGTTATCATAATTCATTATTTCTATGACGTTTTAAATCAAATTATAAAGTAGACCAATATATGTACAAATTTTTAAATTTATTATAGATGAACTGAATTTATTTATTTATTTATTTTTAATTCTTTAATAATCTTATATTTTGTATTTTATTTTATACTCTAGACAATATATTAAATTTACTACTGTGATGAGGATAGGTGTATATATATTGTTTTTCTAGATTTTAAGTTCTTAAATTTTTATTGTTTTATTTATTTATTTTTTGAGATTTTAACTTTTTAACAGTTTATTGATTTTATACTGTAACTCATTTTAGGTAATTATTTTTTTAGATTTTAACTTTCACTTATTTTTAGGCAATTAATGTTTTTAAATTTTAACTTCTAACTAGTAGCAAGTGCAGTTGAAGATTCACGTCGCTCTGTATTTCTTACTATGTAATGTGGTTATTATTTAAAATTCTGGTGTAAGACTATATCAACAGTGGTACATTTTATGTCATATATGTTCAGGTTAGTAACTATTGATTAACAATGAAGCAGTAATAAATCAGTGCTCGTTCGGCAAGCCCAAGTGGCCCGTAATCCCTTACGGGTTTACCTTATCTGTAATACGGTCAAGACTCGGCTCTGTGTATACTAACATTCTTCGGCTTTGTTCACAGTTCGAATCCAAGACATTTAGGTTTTTTTTTTTTTTTTTTTTCTTTTTTTTTCTCTTATATTTTTAATATTTTTCAGGAGACTTTTATTTTATTTTCTCATTAATTAATTCTGAAATGAATTATTTTATATTATATCTGTATATAGTTTGTAAATAGTTTAGTTCTTAAGAAGCTATCTTATAATTTTCATTTTAATATTTAGGTTTAAAAAACATTTTTTTTTCTCTCTTTCTCTCACACTCATTTATCCATCATGGATAAATCCATGGATTTGGATAAGAACACTTCTTGTGAAGACTCGGAGAACGAGACACCCTTTTCAGAAATTAGCGAGACTGACTCGCAATACTTGAAAAGACGTACGCTCCAAAAGCGTGTCCGAAACTCCGCTCCCGGTTCGGGAAGCAACTCACCAAATAAGAAAAAAACAAAAAATAAATCAAACAAATCAAATAAGCCAGCAGAACAAGAAAAATCTCCACCTAAAACGAGGAGTAAATCTAATGCCACACAATCAGAGCCAACTGCACCAAGCACCTCAGCCAGCAAGAATACTATTCTCGATAACAATTTATCAAGCAAGATTCCGAAGCCTCAAGATTTTTCTGACCCCGAACCGCCACCTGTTTTTGTTTCAAAAATTGAGAACTTCGTGTCGTTTGGTCAAGAAATTGCAAAACTAATCGGACAGCCAAATTTTCGCTGCTTCTCTCGAATCAATGACATTAAAATAAACACGAACTCTAGAGAAAACTATAAAAAATTGATTAGCCATTTAACTTCCAAAAACTACGACTTCCATTGTTACCAATTGAAACAGGACAAGGCGTTTCGAGTAGTCCTGAGAGGTCTACATCCAACCACTCCTATATCTGTCATCAAAACAGGCCTGGAAGAAATCGGTCATAACGTCAGGCACATAGCACCCGTACTACATCCTAGGGAAAGATATCCGCTTCCATTATTTTTTATAGATTTGGAACCAGCAAAAACGAATAATGAAATATTTCAGGTTCAACGTTTAGTATACTCGACAGTACGATTTGAAGAACCAAGACAGAAGCCCCTAATAGTACAATGCACTAAGTGTCAAAACTTAGGGCATACGAAGACATATTGCCATCACGAGGCCAGATGTGTTAAATGCGCCGGTTTTCACGCTTCAGACACTTGCCAGAGGCCAAAAGATGAGCCCGCTACATGTGCTCTTTGTGGTGAAGCCCACCCTGCAAGCTATAGAGGTTGTGAGGTGTATAAAAATCTTCACAAACAGAGATCACGCAACTTAGCGACGAAAACCCTTGGACCTGCTCAAAAAACTTGTCCTGAGCCACCTGAAATTGAAAATCAGGAAACATTCCCTGCTTTGCCGACTTCACCTTCCATCGCCGTCCAACAACAACCATCCATCTCTACACTTAAGGATTATCCTCAACAGAACTCAAGAAATTCTCAATGGCAGCCTTGCATCATTAAGAAGCAGCCTCAAAGTCAGGCGCCTCAAACCTCCCAATCCAAGCCCAAAAGCTCTAATACTCAACCTCAACAGCCTCGTCAGCCAATCCCTCCCCATCAGCTACCCTTAAGGGTCAAACTCCCGCCAGAGCACCCACACCCAGCTCCACTCGTTCCTACTCCCAAGATGAACCTCCCATCACAAGTCCAACAGAATTTAGATCCTACTCCTCGTACCCCACGTCGGACCCACCCTCCACCCAGCAATCCTATTCGCATAGATTACTCATCACAACCTCATGACCTAAATCCACTTCCCAGCCAAACATCATCCGACATCAACTCTATCCTATCATCATTCCTGATAGATCTTCAACAGACTATCAAACCGCTTATAACTCTTCTCACAAGACTCCTTTCCGAAATCCCGTTTAACTTCCGATGAATACAAAGCCCCTAGCTATCCTCTTATGGAACGCTAACGGACTACAAAACCACCGTGACGAACTAGACATATTTCTCCATGACAATTATATTGACATTGCTCTTCTGACAGAAACTCATTTCACTCAACGGACACAATTCTACATACGTGACTACATCACTTATAGATCTGACCATCCAGACAACACTTCCCACGCTGGCTCTTGCATCCTTATACATAAATCTCTATCGCATTCCCTTATCCCTTCTACTCCAACTGATGCCATTCAATCAACTTCTGTAATCCTTTCAACTCGTCCTTTCCATCTAACACTTTCAGCTGTATACTGTCCTCCTGGTAATTCCCTCTCTTATAGCCTACTTGATTCCTTATTTCAATCCCTCGGAGCGCGCTTTATTGCTGGAGGAGACTACAATGCTAAACACCAACGATGGGGTTGTCGAACATCCAACTCCCGCGGTAGCATCCTATCACGTGTCTCTTCTTCCAACAGTTATTCAATCCTCTCACCCATGAATCCTACATATTGGCCTACATCTCTGAAAAAACGTCCCGATATCCTGGATATATTTATCACCTCCCAGATTTCCTCCTCCCAATCCATTATCAAATCCCTGGATGACCTTTCGTCAGATCATAGTCCAGTTTTGCTTTTACTACATTCGAACTTTGCTCCTAAACCTAAACTTCCTAAACTAATTACAGGACGAGTGGACTGGGACAAATTTCGTCATGATCTGGAAGATAAACTGGACTTAAAAATTCCCCTTAAGACAAAACAACATATTGATAATGCCATAGAAAACCTTAATACAACTATAACAACGAGTATAAATAATAACACATTTGTTAATAATAAAAGCAATAATTTAAGACATATTAACTTGCCACAGCATATTCGAATCTTATTAAGGGATAAACGCAGAGCAAGATCGAAGTGGCACAGGACTAGATATCCTTCAGACAAAACGTACTATACCGAATTGACTAACAAACTAAAATCAGAAATCAGAAAATATAAAACTCAACAATTACTGAACCTAACTGAAAATATTACAACAACTGACAAATCACTATGGACTACAACCAAAAAACTTCTGAAGTTTAAAGATTTTAATCACCCACTTCTTACTGAATCCCAAACCTGGTCCAAATCCGACGAAGAAAAAGCCCAGTTATTCGGTCAACATCTGTTCCAAATTTTCAACCCACATCCTGATATCCTTAATCCAACCCACATCGAATGTATTGAATCAGAACTGGATACTCCTCTCCAAATGTCCCTTCCACCTAAAGCATTTCATCCCACAGAAATATCCAACATCATTCAAAGATTACCCTCCTACAAAGCTCCTGGACATGACCTAATAACATCCCAGATCTTGAAACTTCTTCCTCGAAAAGCCATCCTATTCCTTACTTTCATATATAATGCTGTACTCCGATCAACATATTTCCCTGATCCTTGGAAAATATCTATTGTCAAAATGATCCACAAACCCAAAAAGCCAC